GTGTGTGTGTGTGTGTGTGTGTGTGTGTTTGTGTGGTTAGGATTATTTTATTACAATCTACAATTGCCTCTTTCATTTGTTTTCACTTCAGGTATGATGACAAAAATAAACAATTTGCAGTATTTATTGCCCAGGTGAATAATGTGCCTGCTCTTTTACCACAGCAAGACCAGAAAGTGTAAGTAATTACAAGGACAAAAATATTTCTGCAGGTCTCCATCAGTTACCCTAAATGACTTTTTAAAAATCTAGTTAGAATTTTTTAAAAGCCTTAAATTTACCAACTATCACTTTTTGAGCCTATATAGCCATTTACTTGAATAAATAGATATTCTTCTACATCATTTTCATTGAAAAAATATTCTTAAATATACATAGCTAATGGCTTGTGGAAAATACTTTAGCTGCACAGCTGACATTAAAAATTAGAATTATTTCTGATGTTTGAAATATTTCTTTGTACTTCTGCAGAACAAAGCTGTTCCTCTCCACAATATATGAAATGATTAATGCACTATCTGACATGAAAAAGATGTGTCTGCAAATCTAATGACTCCTCTCCATGGGATTTTAAGACTACCCTAAAATGCAGTATAAGAGATACATATACTATATAAATATTAATGCTATAAAATGAGAATTATCATTAGCTCCATAAATTCACATGTTGCAGTATTCCTAGAACATCTTTTGAACTTCTGTATCATAAAAAAGTAGAGAAGTTATTACAGGGTTGGGAGCTGTTTTGCTTTTCTTTGATCTTATTTTTTTAATGTCAAATATGATGGAATATTTTAAAGGGATAAGAATTCTGCTTAAAATTAATGAATCAGCTGAGCAACCTTGAAGCTCAGTAGTCCTCAAGGAGCAGAAAACAGTAAATGCAAATTAAGTCTGATCAAAATTCTGCATGAGCGAAGTTTACTAAGAGATATAACAGATTATCTGGAAATTTTCCGATTCTGTCCCATCTATAAATGTTTTTCTCTGTTAAAAGATAGTATTGTAATAAAAATAGTTCTTGGAAATTGAATAACTTCTATGTCTATTTTAACATAAAATGCACATAAAAACAAAATCATGTTTATAATTTGTCATAGTTTTTTGATTTTGATAAGTTATATTGGGACTTTTTTTAGTCTTCTGTCTATTTTTCATTATGTCTGGGGAAAGAGGGAAAAGGAGACTCCAACCAAGCACCAAAGTGATTGTATATTATACTGTAAACTATGTCAAATTCTGCCATCCATAATCTCTCTCAACATAATTGATCTACTGAAATCTATCATGAGTTTAATATTAATATCTGTCTCATTCGCAGACTTATAGGAACAAATAGAAATTGAAAAATACGTTTCTTCTCTAAAGAACTATGCAAAAATGGGTTACGCTGATAGTTGCAATAATATTCACATATACAATGAGCTTGTAGAGTAAGTAATCCTTACTTAAGATCATTTCCAACAGGAGCATTCGTGTGGCTGTTCTCCCTTCATCGGAAAGCACAAGCTGCTTGTTCCGTACAAGACTCGTGGATGCATCAGACAATCTCACATACAATGAATTATTTCGTGTTACAATCCCTCATTCAGTTTTGCGACAGAAGACTCTAAGGATTGATGTCTGCACTTTAGACAAGTTCCACCTTGAAGAATGCTTGGTTAGTGCTTATTTCTATGTGATAATGTCATCTTCTTCAATGTGGTGCCCTCAGAATATGGGAGAACAGAGTTTAGTGTATTGAGGGTGGATGGGAAACGCAGGAGCCAGGAATCAAGGACAAGATGTTTATTGAATACAGAGAAAGATGACAGCGATTCAAAACCACAGAGATCGCGCCAGGGTATTTATACTAGCAATTGTAACCATTAGAACTGTCAGAACCAATCAGGGGCCAAGTACTCGGCCAATCAGGGGAGGTAGCTGGCTAGCAACAGGCCAATCACTTAGCCAATCAGACGCGCCTGCCGGGTGCCGGGCTGTCATACGCGAGGCAATTGGTTGAACCGTTTGAC